GCCCATCTCGCCCCTTACATGATCTTTACAACATTGTTGATTACATTCCTCATTTGTATTAACTACCAGTTTGTATTTCTTATTTTCTTCACCTTTTCACCCTGCCCCCAACCTCATTCCCATTTATCACCCTGATAGATCTAGTACTTATCTGGCACCATACCTATTCATTACAATATTATTGACTATATTCATTATACTATACCCTACTTCCCCATGACTACTGTGTAAGAACCAATTTGTACTTCTTAATCCCTTCCCCTTTTCAACCATCCTTAACCCCCTCCCATCTTAAAGAAGTCCCTCTAACATTTCTTGTAATACTGGTTTGGTGGTGATGAACTCCCTCAGCTTTTTCTTGTCTGGGAAGCTCCTCATCTGTCCTTCAATTTTAAATGACAGCCTTGCTGGGTAGAGCAATCTTGGTTATATGTCGTTGCTTTTCATCACTTGGAATATTTCCTGCCACTCCGTTCTTGCCTGCAAAGTTTCTGTTGAGAAATCAGCTGACAGCCTCATGGGAGCTCCCTTGTATGTAACTAACTGCTTTTCTCTTGCTGCTTTTAAGATTATCTTTTTGTATTTAACCTTTGGCATTTTAATTATGATGTGTCTCAGTGTTGGCCTCTTTGGGTTCATCTTGTTTGGGACTCTCTGTGCTTCCTGGGCTTGAATGTCTATTTCCTTCACCAGGTTAGGGAAGTTTTCTGTCATTATTTCTTCAGATACATTTTCGATCCCTTGCTCTCTCTTTTCTCCTTCTGGTACCCCTATGATGCAAATGCTTGTACGTTTGATATTATCCCAGAGGCCCCTTAAACTCGCCTCATTTTTTTTTTTCGCCTCATTTTTTTTTATTCTTTTTTCTTTTTGCTGTTCTGGTTGGGTGTTTCCTGCTACCTTATCTTCTACATCACTGGTTGGATCCTCTGCTTTGCCTAATCTACTGTTGATTCCCTGTAATATATTCTTCATTTCCATTATTGTATCTTTTATTTCTGACTGGTTCTTTTTCATGGTTTCCATCTCCATTTTTATGCTTCCTGTCTGTTTGTTGAAGTGCTCCCTGTGATCATTGAGCATTCTTATAACCAGTGTTTGGAACTCTGTGTCTGATAGATTGCTTGTCTCCATTTTGCTTAGTTCTTTCTCTGGAACTGTGTTCTGTTCTTTTATTTGGGACATGTTTCTTTGTCTCCCCATTTTGGCCACCTCCCTGTATTTGTTTCTATGTATTAGGTAGGGCTGCACATGATTGAGCTTTGAAATAGATCTTCTGAGGCCTGCCAACAGCCATGTAAAAGAGTTTGGATGTGGATATCCCACCTCAACTGAGGCTGCAAGTGAGACTGCAGCCCCAAATGACAGGTTGAGTGCAACCTCACCAGAGACTATGAACCAGAGGTACCCAGTTAAGCCATTCATAGATTTCTGACTCACAGTAATTGTGATATAATGAATGTTTGTTGTTTTAAGGTGCTAAATTTGGGGGTAATTTGTTACGTAGCAATAGATAACTACTACGTGCCCTTTGACCCAGAAACTCTACTTCAGTGTGCATATGCTAGAGCAGTTTTTTCCCAGTCCTTTTCACATCAGAGCATATGTTAAAAATGCTAATATTTGTACCAGAGGCAATAGACTCCAGGGCAGCAGCTGGGTGAAGCCGGGTCCATCTTCCCTGGAGGGTAAGGGAACCAATATATCAGAACTGCCCCAGAGAAACTCTTCCATATGGCCACAAGAGCCATGCACTAGGATGTTCATTAAATCCCCACTTATAATTGCACACAACAGAAATTGCCCAACTCCATCAGATAGGAAAGAGATAAAGAAATTGGGTAATCATAAAACAGGAGTCCTTTCCATAATATATTATGGTAAAATTATACTGGGAAATTGATACAATAGTATTCAGCAGTTAAAAATGCATTACTTAGATTTCAATGTGGAAATTGCTAAACTTACAAAAAAAGAAGTGAAAATTTAAGCTGCAAAAGGATATATTTATTATGATACCATTTGAGAAAAGAAGTAAGATGAATACGATAAAGTGAGGGCTTCAACTGTAATATTTTGTTTCAAAAACAGAAGGATCTGAAGATCTGAAGAAAAGACAATTTGCTCAATCTGTGTGACAGGTACATGCAAATGTGCATTTTATACTCTACTTTTCTGCATGTTTGGCATATTTGAAATATTTTTTGATAAAAATGCATCCTTTCTTGAGTACAAAAATACATATACATTGGATCAGGCTTATTAACTGTGTTGTTCAATCTCTCTATACCCTAATGTATTAGTCCATTTGATTTATCTTTACCATAATAAGTATGCTTCAGTCTTCTGCTAGAATTGCAGACTTTCTGATTTCTCTTTATATTTCTAACAATATTTGCCTCATATATTTTGAAATTACATTGTTTGGCATACAAATTTTAGCGACTGTATCTTCTTGGTGAATGAAACAACCTGTTTTGTTCTCTTTAAAGCTTTTTACTTTTGTTGTCGGAGAGTGGGCCCTTCTCGGCGCAAAGCCCAGGTCCTTTGCAACCCGAGCAAAGAACTGAACGAGATGCCGGAGTAAAATAACTGAAAAAGTATTTTATTAGAAGAGATAGTACATTTCAAAGAAGTAGAAATAGGCCTGAGCAGTAGAGAATGGCTCAAGGGCCCATTATTAGAAGATAAATTACATTCCAAAGAGTTTGGAGCGGGCCATGCGCAAAGGCGAGGCTCAGAAGGCTCAAAAAAGGGAGGAATGGGTTCTCAAGGGAAGAAGCAGTCAAAACGAGCAGGGCGGACTTCCCAGGACTTGGAGTTTTTATTCCCTTTCTCTAGAATGGGCTGTTGCCCTAAGGGCGTGGGACCACTTGATTGCCACCTGTGATTGACAAGAGGTACTGCGCAGGTGCGGGTGACTTGGTCTGATCTCATTGGGTATTTTGTGCCCATTTGTTTTCCCCGCAGGGGTAGGTAATTACAATACAAAGGGGAGTTTTGGGTGGAGAGGGGATGTCCCCTTGGCGGTCGCACTCTGTGGGAATGCAGAGACCCAATGCCTGCCTCTAACTGCCTGCCTTGTTTTCCCCTTGAGAGACGTGATCCCCATAAAATATCTGTGGGAATCTGAGGGACAGGAGGTTTCTTCTGTACCTGCTTCCTGCTGGGCAGGGGCGTAGAGCTGTCCCTGCCTATTGGGGAATTCACGGAACTCTCACCCTAGCTGATCTCAGATGAGAGGAAGGGGTCTCGAGCTCCGCCTGGAAGACGGTGTTGGCTTCTTTGGTTGTGACTGACAGTCTTGTTGGGGTATCTTCTGTATCCCCAAGGCCCCTGAATGAGGCCAAATATTTTTTAACTAATAAATCTGGTAGCTCTCATGAAGCCTGTGGCCATTCAGCCCGTCACTCAGGAGGCGTCAGTTGTCTGGGCCCAGAATGGGTTTAGCAGTTAGGTCATTGGCCAGGGGGATATTAGCAAGTCACAGGCTTCCAAGTATTTATCTGAAGCAGGGGTAGGAGATTTCTATGAACAATCTACTGTTAGGATTTAGAAACTGATTTACAAAGCAATCAAGAAGCAGGAGGATAGGAGAATTCTGTATGATTCAGGCCAGGAGCACTCTTTAGTCTAGGATTCACACAAAATGGTTAGAAGAGTAATCAAAGCCAAGATCTAAGGATCTAAGGAACTAGGGAGGAGACTTACCGTTTCCATACTTAACATTTCTATAAGGAAAGAACACTTAAAAGTTTCTCAGTGCTGGGGTGCTGCTCGGTTGGCCGGTAACACTCTGAGTTATTAATTTTCCTGAAGTTAACATTACTACAAGTCTCTTTCCTTGCTTCTTTCCTTTCTTCCTTCTTCCCTTCTTTTTCTTTCTTTCTTTTTATAAATTTCTTCCTTCTTCTCAGTCCCATCTTCCCTCCCTTCCTTCTTTTCATCCTTCTTTCATTTCTGCCAGTGTTTAACTGGCATATATGTATTTTCTATTCCTATTTTTGCTTTAGGTGAAATTCATAGAAACAGTATTTAACTGGATTTGTAAAAACGAAATGCTCAAAATGAGAGTTTGCTTTTCAATAGGCAGTGTTAATCCATAATCCGTGCTGATGTATTTGGCTTTGGTCCTGCCTTTTGCTTTGCTTGGGCTTTTTCACATCCCTTCTTGTCGTGTCTCTCCCCATTTCTGCCCTTTGTTAAACTTAGTTTTTCTCTTTGTTCTACATATTACTTCTTTAATGGTTTGAAAGTTGTACATCTTATTTCTATTCTGTTGTTACCCTTAAAATTTCTTGTTCTTCTATTATGCATTTCATTTCCAGTAAGAAGAAAACTTCGCTATTGGCGTGAACATAGGAAGTCTCCATTGGTAGCAAATATTCGAGAAACATCGTAAAGTGCAATAAAAAAAAAAGAGTTCAGAGTTCAGTAAAATTGTATACATCCAAAAGGTACAGCTCTAATATTTTTTAAACTGCAATGCAATTACCAGAATGTGAATCCGTGTTGTGGTTTATGATTGATCATTTCTTGTGGCTAGACAAGCTTGATTTTGTGATTAACAGCAACAAATTCTACTGTAAACTGTTCAGTCGGCTTCAACCACCAGGTTAAAATAATTTAAGCTTACTGCAACCCTAAATATAGTTTCACATTTTTAAGACTTCCAATACAAACCATAATATGTAACATAGGATATGATATATTAATATAATTACTTTCACATTCGAATTAATCAGAAAGAATTTGCAGATTTCATTTTATTTTTAAAAAATCCAGAACAGAAGGGAATATGGCTAAATGGTTAACATTTGTTAAAGCTGGCTGTTGGTTACATTTCTCACTGTCCTTTTCTGTATCCTTGACAATTTCATCATTTAAAATGAAATAAAGCTTTAGGCCCACCCGGGTTTGTGTAGAGCAGCTGCCGCCCCCGCCACATCAAGGGGGCGGCTCCAGCTGACGCTACCGTCACTTCCGGCGCCGCAGTCGCCGCCCGCCCGCTGCTGTCTGGCGGGGGAGGAGCAGGACCCAGAGCAGCGGCTTTGACGGTCGTGGCGGTTGGAGGTCCGAAAGCTCTACTCCTCCGGAGAGCGCGTGTGTGACGGGACTGGTGAGTGAAAGGCTGTTGGTTTCCTCCATTCATCCAGACGTGGTGGTGGGGCGAGTGGCCGGGTACCGGGACGAGGATTTCGGGGAGGTGTAGCGAACAGATTTTCCAGCTCGCCCCTCGGGAAGGGGTGGGGCGGACATGGGACCTGACTGCAGAGGGAGGCCTGTGTCATCCATCGGCCTATTTGGGGACCCCATCCTCTGACCCTCAGCCCCTTTCGTGTGGCCCGGTGCTCCCATTCGAATGGCTTTAATCACTGTTAGAGAGGGAGTGGTGGCCGTGGCAGTCCCCACCTTTGCCTGCCTCTCCTCCCTTCTCTGCCCCTTTGCGGAGCACTCCGTGGCCTTTCTGCCCCCATTTTGCAGTTGGTTTGCTGAATGGTAAATTGTGAAAAATTTGTAGGTAAATATATTGTTTCTAGGAAAAGAATTGTTTTCAGAAGAACAAATTATTCCCAGGGAAAAAATATACCCCCACGCGACCTTTGCTTTCTTTTTCCCCCTTCCACGTTGGTTTGGATCTGCCATTTGAGCTGACAACGTTTTCCCTTCTCTCCTTATGACATTGCGGCCCCCTCCCCCTCCCAGTTTGTCCCCCTCACCCTCCCGCTGTCTCCTCCTCTCCGTGTCTCTCAGGCGCACTAGCAGGGTACACACACATACGCACTCATGCAGGCACTACACACGCATGCACGCGCACATACACACATAGGCACCTTCCATTAAAGCCCCCTCCTTGCCCCTATAGTCAAGGTTCCTGTGCATCCCCTCCCCCATACACGCATGGACACACATGCTCACACTGTCACAGCCTTTGGTGCCCCCTCGCTCGCTCTCTCTTTCTGCCGGCCACATACCCACTTAAGGATATCCTTAGATCACTGGCTCCTCTTTCATATATCCCTTATGTACAAATGCGGCCCCACTTATTCACACACCCCTCCCAAATGCTCCTGTCTGCTACGAGTGCGCAAAGACAGCCTTCCTTTGCTGATCCCTGTGGCTCACACACTCACAGAAATCCTCCAGGGATTCCACCCTCCCCCCCGCCCACCAGCCACATTCATACATACAGATGTTCTTTGATTGCTGGCCCCTGATCCACCTGATCACCGGTCACACATCCCTCTCCAGTGCTGTCCTCCATCTACACATTTGCTCATGCTGACATTTCCCCATTGTTGCCTCCCATTTTGACGAACACCCACAAACTCACGGACACCCCTGTCCAATGCTACCGTACCCTTCTTTACCTGCCACAGACACAGACCCAGATGTCCCTCCACAGAATTCCAGCCACCACACATACGACCAAACATGAACATTCTCTTTCTCTCATACTTACACACGCCCCTCTCCTCTGAAGCCACCCTACCCACACCTGTCATTTTTCTACCCACAGTGAGAATGAGTCTCATTCTGTGTGACACAACTCTTTCCAATGCCACTGTCACCTGCCCCTTCCCCCTGCAAACACAGGCATCTGTCCATTGCACGACTGCTGCTTCCCTTTCCACCTGCTCCTCTTCTCCTGACAGACACATAGGTACTCAATGCACATATGCTGATTTGTGTTTTCCACTCTATTCCAATTTGCAAGTGTCCTGTATGTCTGCAGGGCTCAGAAAAATGTGGACACCCCATAAAAAAACCCTCAGTGGTCTTTCCCCATGTTGGGACAATTCCACAGTACTTCACCCACCTTCCAAGCATCCAGTCACCCCACCCCCAATCTTCTGTCAGATTCTCTCTAAGTCTGGCTTTCCTACAAACCCCGTTTTGTAATCATTTCACCAACATCAAAAATGTGTTCCAGGTCTACACCTGACAGTCACTGGAATGCTACCCCAGGCCTTAGAAGAAAGTGAAACTAATTCTAAAGGCCCCTTATTATTTTTGCTATGTGCTCACCTGGAGATAAATCTCCCTGTTCCTTTCATCTCAGCTGATTGGATTTTCCCATCTCCAGAGCCTGTGTGGGGTGCCTTTCCACTCGAGCCCCAGCTGTATTGCAAGTCAGAGCAGTGGGTCAGGGATCTAGCAAGCCTGTAGGGCCCAAGGCAGCAGGAGGGTATGAGGCCCACATAGGCAGGAGGTATGGAAGGAAGCATGATTATGTCAGTTTCAGGCCATCCACGAGCCAGCAGGAAAGGATTTCCAGCCAGAGAAAGACGACATCTGAAGTCCCAATGCACAGATCAGCCCCCAGTCAAACCGCCAAGAGGAGCCGATTGCCACTGTCCAGCGTTCGTCGTCGTTGGGATGACAGTGAGAACTCGGGAAGCAGCTTGAATGTAGATAATGAGGACTACTCCAGGTACCCGCTAAGAGAGTACAGGGTTCCAGGTAGCAGAAGAGGAATGGCTTATGGACCTATTGACTGTTTACGGGAAGATGAGAGCGAAGAGGAGGGGGCTGGGCCTGTGGCGCTAGCGCCAGTGCGAGGGAAAACTGGCAAGTTTAAAGATGACGCAGAGAAAGGGGCAAGGTCTTTGGTTGGGATGCCCCCCCAGTTGCCTGGTTTTAACCATGATGTGAGGGGCCAGCTTAGCAAGCTAGACCCAGCCCCCTCTGCCAGAGCTGGGTATCTGCAGCAGAAGAGCATGGTGTCTCAGACCTCTGCTGTGGGACGCAAGGTGGCCGCAAAAGGTGACAGTATGGAGAGGGAGAGACGTGAGCAGAGCTTTCCTGTGCGTCTCAGCAGGGCTCCTGTGAGTCTTTGTGGTGGTGGGGAAAACACCCCAAAGGGTGGAGAGGAACCAGTGGTGAGGCCCAAAATCAGAAACCTGGCCAGTCCCAGCTGCGTGAAACCAAAAATATTTTTTGATACTGATGATGATGACGATATGCCACACAGTACTTCCAGGTGGAGGGGTACTGCCAGCACTGATGAAGGCCCCTCAGATGGCCTGGCGAGAAGAGGCAGAGGTGAGAGTTCAAGTGGCCACTCTGAGCCGAAGTACCCCGAAGACAAGAGGGAGGCCAGGAATGAACAAGTGAAGCCAGAAAAGATGCCGAGACGGCGACGAACCATGGCCGACCCTGACTTCTGGACGTATAGCGACGGTTACTACAAATACTGTGATGAAGACTCTGATAGTGACAAAGAGTGGACTGCTGCTTTGCGTCGGAAGTATCGAGGTCGGGAACAAAACCTGTCGTCCAGTGGCGAAAGCTGGGAGACTCTGCCAGGGAAAGAAGACCACAGACCTGAGCCAGCCAGGGTGAATGGCGCTGCCGGCGCCAGCTCCGGCAGCAGTGGCGGCAAAGAACTTGAAGTCCGAGGACCATCTCTTCAGGAGGCGGAGCAGGTGTCCCCGGAAGGAGGAGAAGCCCCTTGGCTCCAATACAATGAAAATGAGAGCGGCAGTGAGGGCGATAATGATTCGGGCCAGGAGTTTCTGCAGCCTGGGGTCTTCATGCTGGATGGCAACAACAACCTTGAAGATGACTCCAGCGTGAGCGAAGACCTAGAAGTGGATTGGAGCCTCTTCGATGGGTTTGCAGATGGGTTGGGGGTGGCGGAAGCCATTTCCTATGTGGATCCGCAGTTCCTCACATACATGGCACTCGAAGAACGCCTGGCCCAGGCGATGGAAACGGCCCTCGCACACTTGGAGTCCCTTGCTGTAGACGTGGAGGTGGCCAACCCACCAGCGAGCAAGGAGAGCATCAACACTCTTCCCGAGATCCTGGTCACTGAAGACCACAGCGCAGTGGGCCAAGAAATGTGCTGCCCCATCTGTTGCAGTGAATATGTGAAGGGGGAGGTGGCGACCGAGCTGCCATGCCACCACTATTTCCACAAGCCCTGCGTGTCCATCTGGCTCCAGAAGTCCGGCACCTGCCCTGTGTGCCGCTGCATGTTCCCTCCCCCACTCTAAGGCCAAGGCTCTTTACTCCTGGTCTGCTGATTTTCCCCATCCCAGATCCACAACACTGCAGGAGCCCTCTCAAAATTAACAAGTGAAATGAAACCAATCATTAACCCACACCTGTTGATTTCTTGTGATCATTTCCAATGTGAAAACAGTTGTGTACGGTTGCAGTAAAAATCATCCTGTCTTTTAGAGGTTAGAAAGGACAAACTAAACTTTCTAAATGCTACTTGACATTGCAGTAAGAATATACATTTTCTAACCTGAACATTGAAATCAGTTGCACTTGTTTTCTTTGGTAGACTATGTTGCTGTTAACTGTAACGTCGAGTTCTCTGTTAAATATGTCCAAAAGGCATCACCATTTCTGTTGCATGTTATGGGTTAACGTTCCTGTAATTGCAGTGCCGTAAGAGCTTATTAAAATTCTTTTGGTATTTCATGGTATAGTGGAATTGTCTGGTTTTGTCTAAAACGGGGGTACTAAGTGCCTTTATGATGGATCCCTTGCATTTGCATCAAAAATAGGTGTTTTTGGTGTTCCCAATGTAGAAAAACTTCAGTTTCACTGGAAATGCTGGCTTGGACAACAGCAAAAAATTAAGGGTAATGATTTCTAAAAGTAGGAATAAAGTGTATGATTATCAAACTACTATGGGGCAAAGGCCAGAGAGAGAATACTGTCAGTCTACAGGAAGGAAAGAAATGGTAGGAGTAAATCCCCCCCGGAGTGTAGGGGTGAAGGAGCTAAAATCCCCTTGCAGAAAACAGAAACTCCCAGAGGGAATGGGTAAAAAAATAAAGCTATGTGTGGATTGTATACCTTAACTCAGTGACACAAGAGGAATAGAAAAATATATGGCAGACAAATGCTGTGGAAAATATATAGGTACCCACCTACATAGAGGGAACAGGCCTTAACATTTGGCCATATTAGCTTCAGAGCTCTCTCTCCAATAGAGTTTTTAGGCACAAGTGAAGTTCATCACCCATCATACTTACTTTCCTCCACAGAGGTAAGAACTACCCAGGAAATGGTGTGTTTACTTCTCATCTACGTTTTTAGACATATATGTGTGTGCGTATGTATACGTGTACATATATATGTATATGTGTGTGTAGCTAACCGATCGTGTTTCTGTTTTCTAAGTGGACGTAATTGATTGTATGTTGTACAACTGGATTTTTTCACTCAACATTGTTTTTGAGATTTTGCCATTTTGATACATGTTGATCTATTTCATGCATTTTGACTGCTGTATACTAAATAGTTGTGTGAATTACTACAATTGCTTTGTCCAGTCCCCTCTTGGTGGACATTGAGATTCTTCCCAGTATTTTGTGGCAATGAATATACTTGACTGATGTCTATGTGTACCTGTGTGAGTTTCTCTAGGGGTAAGTATCTGGAGATGAAATCTGTTGGTCTTAGGGTTTAAGCATCTTCACGCAAACTACTCTCCAAAGTGGACTCACTTATGCTCCTCCCAATAGCTTCTGAGAGCTGTTTTCAGCTCCCGCTGCCTGGATATTGTTAATTTGCAACCTCACTGGCAATCAGTGACATGGAAATTAACACAACAATAAAACATACTGTGTCCATCAGAAAGCAATCGTTTTTTCTTTGTGATAATATCTAGTTTGGGCTAGGAAGAGAAGAAATGGGAACACTCTTGCTATTGGTGTGAATGTAAACCGGAGCAGCCTTTGTGGAGAGCAGTTGGAGTAGCCATCTTTCCAAATGTGAAGTGGGGCAAGTCCTCAGCCCAATCTAAGTATAATACTTTGGTAGTATGGAATTTACTACGCAGCAGTTAAAAACCTGTACTGATACGGAAAGGTCTCCAAGACATAATGTTAAGTTTTTTAAAAAGGCATATTGCAGAGTGATATGCACAGTCTTTATGTAAAATAAAGCCTTACAAAACCAAACAATATGTGACAATGCAGAAAAGTGTCTAGAAGGCTACATACCTGACATGGCAGTGGTTACCTCTGCGGAGGGACAGGCCATTGGGGAAAAGGAGCTAGGAAAGAGGCTCCTTTTTTTTGTTTCACTTGAAACAATTCATTTGCTTGACACTATTTTTTTTACAGTGTCAGTGCATTTCCATGAATGTTAACAGAATAAGTAAAATGAAAAATTTTCCAATAAAAAAGACAAATTATTATCCTCTCACTGCAAGTATGGAAACATGGGTAGAGGGCACAGTCCTTTTTTTCTGCACCGGGTCAAGCTGACATTTCTAACTTCGTCCCCCACAGCCAATCTGTGTTCCCCCTTGGCCTTCTGCCAGCACCTCAGCTGTCATGGAGACACCGAAGCCTGCGACCTTGGAGGGCCCTTGTTTGGCGGGGTTGTGGTGGTTTTCCTGACGTTAACCTTTGCTGTGCACCACACGAGAAGGTAGGTCAGGAGCACCCGTGGGTCCTGGTCATCTTCCTCCCTGCTCCGCTACATAGCAGCAGCCCTAATTTCCCTTTGAGCCAGAATTAGTAAATCCACAGAAGGGGAGTCAACTCCTCCCTAGCGCCCGCAGCCCCCTGCTGGTGGTGGAGAAGACTGTCACTGCAGAGGGTCCTGCTGGAGGCGAGGCTTTCTGGACTAGGGACACCCACAAAGAAGGAGACCTGGGCCCCAGGCTCTGAGCAGCCGGCACTTGGTCCTCGGACCTCAGCAAAGAGCATCAGACATTCGTGTCCAGTACCTAAAGTTTGGAAGGAGGAGGTGGGGGCACAAAGCGTTTGCTCCTGTACTGCTGCGGTGATCATGGCGGCGGCAGTGGCGGTGGTATGGTCCGAGCTGACGGGGTTGGTGATCAAAAGCGCCTGTGCAGGATGTGGTTGTGTCCTTGGCTGCCCAGTTCCCTTCTTCCTGCCAGTTTCTGGGTCTTCAGCCTCCCTCAAAATTCCCCAAGCTCCCCCCGCCCCCACCACATAGCCTTCTGATAAGACTGTTTTGCTTAAATGAGCTACAGTTTGTTTCTGTTCTTTGTAACTGAGAACCCCAAATGGCACACTGGCCAATACCATAGCCCACTTTTGTGCCTGTTTTCCTAGTCATGTGAGATATCCCGAATGGCCAAGGGTCAGGCGATTTCAGTTTACAACGCCATGGACCCATTATTGCACTTGGAGCCATGGTTTTAGAACAGCAGGTCGCGGGGGCCACTACACACCACATGAAGCAGTCATTTTTGAGAGTGGGTTATTTGGCATATTCAGTGAAGGTGCCACCCACCACACTATATACTTCTTGATTACTGGGCTTGTTTCCTGGCTGTGGAATAAGTAGCCTCACCTTTTGGTCACTGATTGGTAGCATAAACCACTACATCTCTCAAGAGAGCACTCCAGGTTCCTGAGGTGGTCACCACCCCCCCTGCCCCCGCCGGCTGGCACTGTAGCCTTTCCTGGCTCTAAAGCAGTACCTTCTTCCTCTTAGACGTCTGTTGCAGCTAGATCCTTCCACGTTTGTACCTGGACCTGTGACCTGAAATGTCCTTTCCAGCCCTGTCAGTTCCTCCCATCCCTTGAAAAGTCCTGTTCACATGCTAGCTCCTGAAAACTACTTTCTGATAGTCCCAGCTCCTTCCCTCTCTGTGTCCCATTTCTGTGGTCCTTGGGGTCAAGAGCTATCTATGTCTGAGTCACTTCCACAGTCCTTGCACCCAGGGCTTGGCCACTTGACCAGAGGAAGACTTCCTCTCCCAGGGCAGGCTCAGGGCAGGGGGTGTGTTCAGCAAACCCAGGAGGGGTCATGGGGCCTGGCCCAGCCAAGTGCAGGGGACCCAGCCTTAGCCCCATTCACACCCTCAGGCTCTACAGGCCCTGGCACCCTTCCTATCACCCTCTGTCCCCTTTTCTGTTTGTCCTGCTGAGTCCCCAGTGGCTCAGAGGCTGTTCTCAGGCCCAGGGCCTGTGGCGAGGAAGTGGTGTTTGTCCGTCTGCACCTGGCTCCAGCCTTTGACAAGGCCCAGCATACAGCAAGCCAGGTTCCGGAACCCCGAGCAGTGCTTTCAGCCTGCCTTGACATTCACATCTGCAGAATGGGACTTGGCAGTTAGGCACATCACTGCAGGTTTCTGCTTTCCCCTGAGTGCCTCCCATCCTATTTCCTCCCTTCAGACTTTACTTTTCCCAAACAGGGTGGTCAAACATTAGTGAGGTGTCTTCATCCCTCACATTGGGATAAGGTTTCCCCAGGCCCCTTACATTACATTCAGTAATGTCACTGGATCCACCCATCAACCCCAGAAGGGGTTTGGAAAGGTGGTGGCAGTTCTGAGGAGCACAAGAGCATGTCTGCTTGGTGGAGGAGGACAGCAGGGATGTCTTCCCCACAGCTGTCTCAGCCCCAGTGTGGTGAGGAGCGGGTAGGGGGTCTCGTCCTCAGCCTAAGAGCCCAGACTGGCTCCAGGTGCTCTGGTCCCTAGCTGCCAGCCTCCCAGCAGCACACTGAGAGACCGGGCGAGAGCAGCCTGGGGACACCCAGACAAGAAGGCACCAGGACTTTGGGTGGGAGGAATGGGGGAAAGAAGACACAGTCTTGGAGGGGTTCTTCCATAGGAGCTGGGGAATAGGGGACAGTAACTGCTTATAGAGTTGGAAGAAGGCGGCTGAAGCAGGGCCTGGGAGCCAGCTTGAAGGAAGGTAGCGACAGGGCACCAAGCACGTGAAGACAGATCTCCAGGGACCCAGGGGAACCAAGCCTGAATCACTGCTCGGCCCAGACCAGGCTTGCATTCAGCAAATGAGTTTCTGCCCACTGCACTCAGAGCTGGGGATTCCAAGCTAACTAGTTTAGTTCAACAAATACTTATTGACCTGCCTGTGGTGTGTTGGACGGGGGCCTGCGAGAGATAAATAAGGCTTAGTCCTCCCCTCAAAGGGCTCATAGTCTAGTGTGTGAAACAGACTGTGAAGAGAGCATTGCAACCTTCTGTGGGTGGCGCTACATGCAGGCAAACACAGAGCATCCTGGGAGCCAAGATCTGGCTGGTCGTCATGGGAAGGGGGGCTGGTTGCTGCAGGCATCCTGTGTGAAGCCACATGGAAAGCACCAGTAGGTGTTAGCCAGGTAAAGAAAGAGATGGAGGGAGGGGAGATGGCCCTTGGTTTATTGGAAAGGCCCTTTCATGAAATGCATTAACGTTTAAAACCTGCACACCGTCTGACCCAGCAATTCCACTAGAGTTTCTCATACCTGAGCAAAAGCACAAGGTTGTTTGTACAAGGATGTTGACTGTTGCATTGTTTGTAGTGGCAAGAGACTAGAGAGCATTTCAGTGTCCATCAGCGGGGCCTAGTTATATAAATGATGGCACAGCCATTGTGATGCTTCGCTAGGCAGCTTCATGGCTGTAGCCATGCAACAGTATCCACAAAGCAAGACGTTACAAGAGTGCACAAGACAGTGGGCACAATGACCGTGTGTGCTCACGAGA